AAAAAAACATGCATGCACATGTTGTCAGTGATTTTTGTTTCTAGAAACCGCTCTTGCCATAAATATGTTGGCTCTTGCACTGTATGACTACTATCGGTGGGGATTTTTGTTGATAACTGAACCCACAGGCATCGGTGACAGCTTTTGGTCGAGCTCACAGCAAGACTGCAGGTAGCCAAAGAGGTGAAACAGAACTAAACTGTCAAAAACAAGACACACTTGTACATTTGTGGAGAGCAGAGAGCAGCTGTGGATGAGAGAGCAGCTGTCATGCCCCCCGTACCACCCCTCGGTCCCCCCATGGGGACGGTGAGACTAAATGAGCAAGGCCAAGGGTGGGCTTGAAGTGACGGCACAGCTGAGCAGCATTTAAAACATGTTTTGTAAACAACTGAAGGCGGTCTTGTGTCTTTATTTGGTTGGTTTAAGCTTGTTGGTAATTTATTGAGCAATGCATTTGAGGACAAATGGCTGAGAACGACATAGTTCCTATTTATTTAAAATAAAAATGCTATAGGGAAAAAGAGGGAAGTTGACCCTGGTTTCAGGAAATTGTGTCTTAAGGCATGCATGATGGAACTAGAAATGGCTATAAATAATTTAAACCTATGCTCTATTTAGGACAAACCCATTTAGTAACTTTGAAAAGAAAAAAATCTAAAAACATCTTAAATTTGTATATTACCGCTGATAGATTTCACCCACTGCTCATAATTATTACAGAAATATGGAAATATGTAGCGATACGTTTTAAATGGCAGTTGTGCTAAAAACAGTTTAAGCTGGTTTAAAGCTTTTAGGTGGTGTCCAAGTGGTCAAACTGGTCTGTTGGCTAGTTTTAGGTGGGTTTTTAGGGACTTTTTAAGCTGGTCATGCTGAGAGACCAGCTTGGAGACCAGCTACACAACAGCTTGGCCATACTGGGAGACCAACTAAGACCAGTAAAATAAAGACCAGATTTAAGCATTTTTTCCAGCATTTAAATGCAATACTATCAGTTAACTCAACATACTATCAAATTATTCATAGTTTTTCTATAATAAAAGTCTATTACACATGTTTTAGTGCATTGACTACAATTTGTCAAACCAAAGTTAAACTACGGTTAATGTAGCATATCGTTAATTTAAGGTTAACGTTACCATGCGGTAACTACAAAAACAGTTTGTCTAATAATATTTTAAACCACTATTAATTTTATTATAAAGAATAACAAACACAACCGTTATCTAGAAGCAATTCAGTGGACAAGAGCAAACAGAAGCGAACACTGACCCACGTCAGAGTTAACGTTAGATGTGTCCTGTCAACCTGCTAGCGCTAGTTAGCTATCTATCTATTCTCAACCCATGTTCATACTAACTAAATTCGCAAAAAATGTACCGAATATGTTTAAGTAGGACCTCTTGCAGTCATAAAAACTGATTCTAAATACACAAACGTGTTTTACTTAAAACTGGGAAGAGACTCAAATGAGAGTCCGCAGGCTACTTAGCAACCAAGCCTAGCCTACTGACAGTTAGCATTGTTCGATATATAGAGCTTTCAGTGCGGAGTATTTACTAAAACACAATTTAAATATATAGTAAGCTGTCGCTACAATATCTGCATATAAACAAATCTAAGTGTGGAGTAAATATGGTCATTTTAATTGACAGCACCTCGCAGGCTTGTCAACTTAACTTGGGATGGGTGCTAACAACGAGAAGGGGTAAAACTTTAGCCACGGCAGCAAAGCAGGAATAAGCAGTCCAAATTTAAAGTCATGCAAGTTTTGTGAATACACTAAAAGATTGTACTTCTTGAACAACCACTGTTCAACCGCATTACAAAGATACATATAAGTTAAGAGTGCGTTTAAAATCTGATTTGTTGGGCCGCAGAATCGGCCTTAATTTTAGGCATTTTTCCTGGCGCGCTTAACCCAGTATCCCTTCGCATACGCGGGCTTGGTACTCCTCCGCAATCCGCCGCGGTCAGGCGAGTCCCGGACAGCCATGGCTCACAACAACGCATTGATCCATAAATCTCAGCCTTACCTGGTGCACTGCAGTCGGCGCACACCTCGCTTCTCTGGACTTTCCTGGACATCGCTGAATCAAAAGCTGCTGCTTCCAGAAATTTTAGTCCAGTGCTGAAGATATCTGGTTTTCCTTCCCTCCAGGAGCGACGTCTGCGATTTTAATGCCGCCCCGAAATGTCCGGAAGCCGGCGACGAGCTCTCCAGTGCTCCCGGTCCTCACCCTTCTCTCTCTCTTTCTCTCCTTCCTTTTTCCTGCGGTGTCTTCTGTCGTGCCGCTACGAGGACTTTGCGATTCCCAAAGATGAATGAGATTTTCAGAAGGCCCCTTACGTTATCAGATTTCGGACGTAATCAGTTTAATTTTGAGTGGCCCCCATAATCTTTTTACCCCGATCATTATCCAAGCCCGTCTCTTAGGCAAAAGGGGGTGGGAATAAGTAAAGTATGGATACTGTACACGGTTTATTTACATCCACTGCCCCATACACTTCTGTATGGCGGGCTGCATATCCCTCTCTCTGACGTCTGCCTCTCGCTTTCTCTCTTTTGCCCCACTGTCGTCAGTGCACAGGCGGGGGCCGACCCAGCAGAGGGACCCTGCAGTCGTGCCCACCAGTATGGAGATGAATTTTACATAACTTTAATTACATGCCTACTATCTCCTAATAGGCTTTAAAAAAATTTAACTCAGTAAAAAGAAAAAAAGTTTGTTTCTTCTGAATTTTTACTTTAAAATAACGTGTTTCTAGAAGGAATATCATCTCATTAATATATTTTATTTATACTAGTCCTCCACATTCGATTCTATTTATTCCTTCATTCATTTTATTTTCAGATCCCTTTATTAATCTGGGGTCGCCACATTGGAATGAACCACCAACTTATCCAGCATATGTTTTACGCAGTGGATGCCCTTCCAGCTGCAACCCATCACTGGGAATCACCCATACACTCTCACATTCACTCACTGACAATTTTGCTTACCCAATTCACCTATAGCGCATGTCTTGACTGTGGGGGAAACCAGAGCACCCAGAAGAAACCCACGTAAACACGGGGAATGCCAAATGACCCATGCAGCCGAGGCTCGAACCAGCGACCTTTTTGCTGCAAGGCAACAGCGCTACCCACTGCAGCACAATGTGTTGTTTTCTTGGCCCAATTTACATTAGCTCATTCCAATACAAATCTTCAAACTATAAGATAGAAAAAGAAAAGTGCATATACTTTTGGGGTTTGGTTATTATATTATATGTATAGAAGTCCAAAGACACGTATAGATAAATTGAATAAACTAAATTGTCTGTAGTGTATGTGTGTGAATAAGAGTGTATGGGTGTTACTGGGAAACTCACACTCATTCACACACAAACACTACGGCCAATTTAGTTTATTGAATTCACCTATAGCGCATGCCTTTGGTCCAAGGAGGAAACCAGAGCACCCGGAGGAAACCTATGCGAACATGGGGAGAACATGCAATCTCCACACAGAAACACCAACTTACCCAGCCAGCTGGGGCTCAAACCTTGCTTCTTGCTGTGTTGTGACAGTGTTTAACACCAAGCCACTGTGCCACCATGTTTGAGGTTATTGGCATACATTATTTTAAACCCCTCTAATGAAGAAAGGAACAGTATAGTAGCACAAAAGACTAACAGGTTTTAATACTAAGAATTTAATAAAACTCCTCCAGACAAATGCACATAAGTTAAATTATTCATAAACTTCATTCATTCATGCATTTTCTTTTCGGCTTAGTCCCTTTATTAATCATGGGTTACCATAGCAGAATGAACTGTCAAGTTATCCAAAATATTTTTTTACGCAGCGAATGCCCTTCAAGCTGCAACCCAACACTGGGAAACACCCATACACACTCATTCACGCACATACACACATTTTTAACTTACCCAATTCACTTATTGCGCATGTCTTTGGACTTGTGGGTGGAACAGGAGCACCCGGAGGAAACCCATGCTAACACGGGGAGAAAATGCAAACTCCACACAGAAATGGCAACTGACTCAGCTGAGACTTGAACCTGCTACCTTCTAGCTGTGAGGCAACAGCATTACCCACTCCCTCTCATAAACTTTTCCTATTAATTTATTTCAGTTGTTTTTTTTGTCTGTTTTTTTTTAGCTGATCTGACCTTATTACATTGACACAATGTAGTTCAGCCAAAAATGTAAATTTACCCACCCTGCTTTTATATCCTTTTCTGTTGAACACAAAAGAGGATTTGTAAAATAATGGTAGAAACCTGGAAACTTTAGAAAAAAATATGGAACTCAGTTGTTACAGGTTTTTTATTCATTCATTCATTTTTCTTTGGCTTAGTCCCTGATTTATTGGGGGGTCGCCACAGGGAAATGAACTGCCAACTATTCTGGCATATGTTTTCCAGCTGCAACCCAGTACTGGGAAACAAAGACAGTGCTAATCAGCCATACAGATTTTCAACATTTTTTTAAAATAACATTTTAAAGGTGTATAAAAAAAGAAACTGGAAGGGCATCCGTTGCGTAAAACATGCTGGACAAGTCGGCGGTTCATTGTGCTGTGGCGACCCCTGATTGATAAAGGGACTAAGCCGAAAAGAAAATGAATTAATAAATGATGACAGGATTTTCAAGATTGGATGATGAAATATCCCTTAAAGTCCATAATATTGATCAAATCAGCACAAACAACATCCCTTTCTGTTCTATTAGGCTGTTATCTGTAAAACAGAATTACAGAATTGACTTAGTAGGCTACTAAGACACAGATGGCAGCACAAAATGATTACTCTATATATTCTCTCCCATGGCGCAGTAAGCAGCATCAGCATCAGCATCAGCATGTATGACAGAATCGCGCGCTGAAGTTCAGTGGCTCATCATAGGTGTGAGGAGTCAGGGAGTCTCTTTGGTCTGGGAAACGCGAGCCCTGCCTCAGCCTCCGCGAGCGAGCGTGCGGGCGCGCGCCTTTCAGTGTGTGACAGGGAGAACAGACGAGGAGGAGTGGAGAACAGACCGGAGAGCGTTAGCTTTAAATTACCTTTCAACACAGACGCACTGAATGTCAAGCTACTATGCAAAGAGGGATGCTGTTGAAGAAAAGGGAGAGAAATGCCCTTATCGGTCGTCTCGGCAATAACAATATAGCACGCGCCCTTTACAAAAGTAACTGATATCGCACAAAAGCAGCAGGGGAAACGGAACGGGGAGAAAGCAGCGGCGAACTATGCACTGAGGATGATTTCTGCCAGAAAAACTCCGGAGAAGAGTCGCTACCACCTGCATTATCTGGTGTGGAATAACAAACACCGGCAGCTGGAGAAAGAGCTCTCAGTGCGTGAGCAGGTAAGATGCGTTGGTTTCCGCGTGCCAGTCTCGCAGCAGATGATGCTCGGGGCCGCGCGTTTCTCTGAGGAAACTGATTCGGTTACTTCATTCGCCTTACAAAATGTGAAAAGTGATTCTTCATCATTTTCTGTTTCAGTAACGGCATTTATACGCAGTTAAGTGGTTATTTACTATAGACTATGTCCATTATAAACAGAAATGCGTGTAAAAAACCTTCACACCCTGGTTGTGTCTTCATACCTAGCCAGTTGCCTATCTAGGCTGCATTTTTGGGCGGAACGTTCGAACGCTTAAAGATGCTGTCTGTGTAGGCATCACACTATTCGACACACAGTCCATATTCTTTAAACCTCATGTTACATATGTGTCATTAAGGCGGAAACATTTTCTAAAATGCATTTTAGTTTTCTTTAAATTTTAGATGCTGTAAAACACAGAGAGAGAGAGAGAGGCTGCAGAATAAAGTGGCAGGGCATACAAAGGCAGTGGGTGAATGATGCTTACAGATCAGCCTACGTTTACCACCACTCACAGTTCCTGAGGAAGGATAGATGGTGTGTCAGGAGAGGGTGTGTTTGTCTTTCTGATCAGCCTTGTTCAAAAGAATAATTAATCCAATACATTACTCTTCTGGCCAGTGTAAAATTAATCTGTAATTTTTGGGTTGCATAACATTACTATGCTGCTCTACAATTTGGCATTATGTTTGGGTAAAATTCAAAAGGGAAATAAAAAAAGAAAAGCACAAAGGCAAAACGATTATGGTTTGTAGTGTGTTTAAATAAAGTAACATACTACTAGAAATTGATCATGTGAGCACAATTGCAGCATGTATGCATCAAAACCCTATTGTGTAATAAATTAGTTAAACAGTATTTATTTTCTGTAATTAAAAAGAAACCTCCATTGAATTGTATTGCATATACTTAAAAAATAACAAGACACAGATGGCAGTACGAAATGCTTTCTCTTTATCATGCTGCAGTGAGCACCAGTATGACAGAATCACTGATTGCAAACTAAAGTTCCACAGCTTATATAAGTGGAAATTCATATCAGGCAGAATCTGCTTTTTATTATAAACCATTTTTTAAAGAACTGTTTAAAAGAACCTTTCTCAAAGAAAAGTAAACATGAAATGTAAATTTACTCAATGCATTTTATTAATGTTTCTGCACAATTTAGCCCTGTTTTTTATTTATTTTGTCTCAAATGTTATTTAAATACCATAACCTGATCTTTGAGCCTTATGACAAAATTCTACCTAGGCTAGGCATGGGACAATAAGCGTTTTCAAGGTATTCCGTGGTTTGGAAAAGTCAGGGTTTTAAACAGTCAACATTTTCTGCTATTCCATTCATTAGGTATATGTAAGATTTTATATTTACATTTTTTCTGTTTGTTTGTTTGTTTATTAGGACAACAATATCTTCAGCACAAAAGATATCTAACGATGCCGTTTTAAATTGTATTTTTGTTTTTGAAACACAGCAGAAGTCAATGATTAATTTGATTTATTTAGCCTGATATGTTTATTACTCTAAATTATTATAAATATCTAAAAATAAAATTTTGTGTTCAAAGTTGTTGTCTTTTTACCCAAACAATTAAAAAAATCTATTCTAGAGCAATATTCACAATATTGTGAAGCCATGATATTTTTATCCAAGGTTATCATACTGTCAGAATCTTATACTGGCCCATGCCCACGCAGACCTGTCCAGTCATTTAATACACCTAAACCTGCTTCATCTTTCACTTGACTGAAGGCTTGCATTTATGCACCTCCATTCAATCTGATGGATAGAATCAAGCCCTCACCCATCATTTATTTATTTTTTGACAATCAGAGAATACAGAAGAAAATATCTCTCACGGCTATCATTACATTATCATTACTAATTACTAATTATTTGCACAATTCAAATTGTACATATTCATTGCACTTTGTTGCACTAATTCATCTTAAATTGTACATATCCACTACACATTCATTCCTTCATTCATTTTCTTTTCGACTCAGTCCCTTTATTAATCTGGGGTCGCCAAAGCGGAATTAACCGCCAATATGTATCCAGCATATGTTTTACGCAGCGGATGCCCTTCACACACATACACTCATACACTACAGACAATTTAGCTTACCCAGTTCACCTATACCACATGTTTTTGGAATTGTGGGGGGAACTGGAGCACCCAGAGGAAACCCATGAGAACGTAGGGAGAACATGCAAACTCCACACAGAAATGCCAACTGACCCAGTCGAGATTCAAACCAGCGACCTTCTAGCAACCTGTACAGCAACCTGTACATATATTCATCTACTGTAAATCTCTGTTCATGGTTAACACAACCTGTAATATTCACAGTACATCCATCTGTAAATATTACCCATCATTTTTCTAGAATTGCACTTTATAACTTGTACCTATATCCTGCACTTGCTGCTATTGCACTCCTGGTTAGACATAAACTGCATTTTGTTGCCTTGTACTTGTACATGTGTACTGACAATAAAGTTAAATCTAATATAAATCGAATCTAACCACATTAAGAAATAAATGCAACATTAATCCACTGAACTGTGGAACAGTCTGCAAATCAGTGCATTGATTTTTTTTAATCCGTCTTTAATCATTAATTAAAAAACAAAGAATGATGTAGTAACACTATTCATTTTTATTCCAGTAAAATGGAAATGCTATAATTTATGAAATGGGGCTATATGTTAAAAGTTCAATCGATTAATCTCTATTTTATTGCCAATGTGTGGACAGATTGTAATGACACTTCAAAAAGAGACCTTTTGTGTCTTCCCAGGTGTAACTATAAAATTCTGTACACTGATCATTAAAGGCAATTTTTGTCGGGAAAAAAGTGTGCAAACATTTATAAATCATTCAAAAAGCCTCTCTTCTGACCTATAACACAGGGAATGAATGCTTAAAATAATCAAGATAATTCAGATGATGCTGTAACATAAGTACAGAGCAAACATTTTTGTTTAATAGACGTCTAATAGACATCTAAACATAGACAGCTTGGCTGAAACAAGGCTAAAATTGGGCTGTCAGTGAAAATCTAATAGACATCTAAGAGTAGCCCAAAACTAGACTAGTCATTAAATAGATAGATTAGACAGACTGTGTATGTGTAGTCATTCATTTCTGTTTATTTGATGACTAGTCTAGTTTTGGCCTATTCTTAGACTATTAGATTTTGTATTTATTTTTGACAGCCCAAATTTAACCTTGTTTTAGCCAAGACCACAATGTTTAGACGTCTAATAAACATTTTTTAAAAACAAAAAATGCTTGCTGGAATGTTTCTTGCAAAAAAACAAAAACAAAAAAAAAGAATTAATTTTTACTTTTCTCTAACTTTTTTTTTTTCATCTGAATCCAAAAGAAGTAATGTTGAAGCATGTTAGTAACCACCAGTACCCATGCATGTACGTTTTTTCAAAAACTAAAAGAAAATCAAATTGTGCATTAAAATAAGAAGAAAAATATCTACAGGCTTGTATGCTGGGTAAACAAAATATATTTTATTTTAGGAGGTGGTAGGGGAGACTATAGCTTTAAATAATACACATTAAAGGACAACAAATAACACATTTCAAGCCACCCCTATTATTTTACATTATTATATTACTTTAGTGAAGCATATTCTCTAATAAGCAGAAGTTGGGACGCCTTACATCAATGTAATGGCTTACACTTTCTCTTATTTTAACTCTCTGCTTCAGGAGTTGGCATTACAAACTCATTTCAGCAAAGTCACAGCAGAGCCATTCCTGATTCCACCTTTGCAAATCCCAAACAAACAGTAACTCATTCCAATCCCAGCCGTCCTGTTCATGTGCCCATTCTTCTGGCTCAGGCTGAGGGTAATAATTCAGACCCCTAACCCACTGGATGATCACTGCCATATAAAGCACTTCCAGTTTAGCTGATTTACAGGCCGCTGACAGCGTAATCTATCCACGTTTGGCATGGTAGCGTGTCGCTCGATGAGTCAATCCGGCACCCTCCGGGGACGGGATGAGGCGCAAAGGGAGGTCAGTGCTGTCTAGATCGTTCCTCTCCAGTGAATGAGGCACGTCGTCACCCTGATGGCCGAAAAAAGTTGCTGCACCAGCACACAGGATTATAGGATAGATGTTAGGTGTCAGTGAAAGAACAAAGGGGGGAAATATAAGGGAGAGAGGAGGAGAATGAGGGACATGAATAGGAAGACAGGGCAAGGCAAGTTTATTTATATAGCACATTTTATACACAATGGTAATTCAAATGGTTTTACTTAAACAAGAATAAAAAACTAGTAAAGTAAAGTTTATAGACACACTTTATGGTGTCTTGAGAAAGCCAAGTCTGACAGTTTGAAGTAGCTTCAAAATTTTAATAATTGAAGTAGTTTTTCAGAAGTTTGATACAGTTGGTATAGACAAAGTCATTCCACTTGCCGCCCATCTTTTTGAACGCCTTTCGGGTAGTATGCTTGGGCATTCTGTTTGAATGGGGAAACATCAAATTTTTCAAAACTACTTGCCAAGCTAACGATTACATTTCATATTACGAATAACCAATAATATTGAACAACTACTGTCTGTTAAGCTTCATTTCTAAATGTTCGTCTCACACAAAATCTGCAGAAACACACGACTGGTCTGAGCACCTTCCCCGGAGAAATGTCATTCTGTAGCATTCGCTGATTGGTTCTTTTTACTAAAAGGCGGGCTTTATTTGCCATATAGTGATTGCTGATTGGCTCCTGTAATAAAAGGCGGGCTTTATTTGCCATGTAGCGATTGGTGATTGGCTCCTGTAATAAAAGGTAGGCTTTATTTGCCATTTAGCGATTGCTGATTGGCTTCTGTAACAGAAGGCGGGCTTTATTTGCCATATAGTGATTGCTGATTGGCTCATGTAATAGAAGGCGGGCTTTATTTGCCATTTAGCAATAGCTGATTGTCTCCTGTACTAGAAGGCGGGGT